GAGGTCAGGGGAGGCCAGACTGAGCTGAAGGCAGTTCTGGGCTCCTGGTTTCCTCCCTGTCTTTGTCCGTGTCTATATTTGGCACCAGCTACCCCACCTCAATAAAAGAGCCTGTTTTCCAGAGGTGAACAGCACTGAGGGCGGGCTGAGAGGGCCCAGAGGAGCCAACGTGTGGGAATCAGATGCCCAGGTGCGCACACCAAGTTCATGGCCAAGTGGGGACTAGCCCAGGTTGAGTTACATCTTCTCTAGCTGCGTGTAAAACAACAGCTACTTCAGTCTCGATCCCAGGAGAGTTCCTGAACTTGTCTAAGTGATACTTCCGCAGCGTCTCAAGTTTAACTCAGACTTCCAGCAAACAGACACTATTAAATTCACAATGGGCCATCAGAAGAGTCTGAACTTGTAAAAGTGACCCCTCTAGTGCTGTCAATCTGGTCCCTACCTGTGACTGTAATGAAGGGCATTTTCAAAAGGCTTTGATGGCCTGTCAAGTTCTCACTGAAACTAATTTCAACTCTTTTCTGCATTCAAGGGGTGTAATTACGGTGCTGGGTGTTTTCCATTGCTTCCTCCGGATCCACTGTCCACCCTGCTCCGTGGCCTTGAGGCTGAGCTCCATGGGTTGTACTGACCAGGTTCTTGGTCCTCTGGCGTCCCCCTGGCTTTGACCAAACAGAGGCTGTGGCGGACGAGAGAGCGAGGAGAGAGGCCGGGGCGTCTACCCCTGTGCGCTCTGTGGGCAGAGGTGTGGCAGTGCTGCTTCCGGCTGCAGGTCACAGGCTGTTGGTGACTGTCTCCTATAGCCGCAGCTCTCCTGAGCCTGGTAACGGCCCCCTCCCCTGGTCCCTTCAGGCCCAGCGGAGCTCACATTGGCGGTCTCAGATACCTAGTCATTTCTTGGTGATTTCTTTCACTGCCCACTGTGCCCTTCATCCAGCTCTCATCACTCACCCCTGGTGAAGGTGCCATCGCCTCTTTCCTGCTCAGACTCTGGCTGACACAGTTACTTTGACGGTTGTTTTCAGAATGTGCTTGTAGCTGGTACCACAGCTGGTAGGATGCAGAGAGGCCAAGGATGTGGGTATGACCCCTGTGTCATGGGCCAGTTGTCTTGGTTCAGGGTGCACTTAGCTTTCTCCCTGGAGTGCCAAGACCGTGGGCAGCTCTGTGGCTGTGATGGGGTGGTTCTCCTTGTCCAAGAGCCTTCTCTGCACAGACGCTGTTAGGTGATGTACTCGGGCTTTCCCTACATCCAGGCCTGCGAGGCAGGAATGATCACCTCCCGCTTCCTACAGATGAGAGAGAGAACTGAGACCCAGAGAGTTCATGTCATTTCCTCAAGGTCACACAGCAACTTTGGGGAAGAGACTAGGATTTATGTTCATGTCTTAGTCAAAGCAGGCGTGTTTTTTGGTGAGGTGGGCTGTTTCTGGCTTCATGAGTGCAAACTTCAGTGCAACTGGAAAAATTTGCTGTTAGCCGGTCAGTTCTACAAACGCCGCTGGTAAACCAGCAGTGTATGGTGGCGGGCAGCAGCTTGGCAGAGGGGGACCCGCGTGGAAGTGCCTGCACCCCAAGGGGTGTTTCTGGACGAGGCGTTGCCCCGGGCTGCACCGTGTCTGGGGTCTGCACAGCAATCTGGCGGCACTGTGCTCCCGTAACCCGGCCTCGTCTGAACACGTCCTCCGCAGGAAGTCTGACGGGCTGCGTTTCCTGAAGTAATCTGTTCTTCGAGATGACCACATGGAATCTTTCCGCACCCCAGCTGGCACCCTGACCGCAGGCACTCGCGGGGCCTGGTTCCTTTAATATTTTGACTCCAACATCCTCAGGGTCCAAGAATGTGAGTCGCTTCTGTTTCTCATCTCAGATCTCAGTGCCTGGGGGTTATGAATCCGTCAAGACCCTCGGAAGGGGTGGACTCAAAATACTGAATTTATTTCTCAGGGAATTCTTTCTTTTCCCTTTGCTTCCATTTCCTGATGCCCATGCTCTGCAATGCTGCCGTGGCATTATGTCTAGTGTCTCAAACTAATTTTTTTTTTTTTTTTTATCCTCACCTGAGGATATTTTTCCATTTTTTACTCAGATAGAGCGGGAAGGAGAGAGAGGAAGAGAGAGAAACATCGATGTGAAAGGGACACATCGAGTGGCCACCACCCACACGACCCAACCAGGGCCGGGGACAAACTGCAGCCAAGGTACATGCCCTTAGCGGGAACCGAACCCGGGTCTCTATGGACCGCAGGCCGACGCTCTAACCGCTGAGCCAAACTGGCCAGGGCCAAACTAATTATTTTTAAAATTCTCACGTGTGGATATGTTTTTTTAATTGGCTTTAGAGAGAGAGGAAGGAGGAGAGAAAGACAGAAACATCGATGTGAAACACCACTAGGCTGCCTCCCCTCTGTACTTTCTCCCAACCCTGAGCTCTGACCAGGGATAGAACCCGAAACCTAGTATGTGCCCTGACCAGGAATTGAACTTGATACCTTTTGGTGTACGGGACAACACTCCAACCAACTGAGCCACCCAGCCAGGGCCAAATTCCCATTCTTATCAGTATTTCACTCTTTTGTCTAACAGCCCTAGGATTTAAAAAAAAATAGCTACAGAATTACCCAGACTCCCAAGCACCATTTAGATTCAGCTGTACTACTTGCAAAAAAGGTCTAGAGCCCTGGCCGGTGTGGCTCAGTGGATTGAGTGCCATCCCAGGCACCGAGAGGTTGTACGTGTTGATTCCTGGTCAGGGCACATGCCCGAGTTGCAGGCTTGATCCCCAGTAGGGGCATGCGGGAGGCGGCTGATCCATGTGTCTCTCTCTGTTTCTTTTCTCTGTATAAAATCAATAAAAAAAATAACAACCCTGATTGCTTTGGCTCAGCAGTTAGTGCATCAGCCCAAGGACCAAAGGGTCTTGGGTTCAACTCCCAGTCAAGGGCACGTATCTGAGTTGCAGGTTCTATCCCGGGCCCCGGTTGGGGTTGTGTGGGAGGCAACCAGTCGATGTGTCTCTCTCACATCAATGTTTCTCTCTCCCTCCCTCCATCCTTCGCTTCCACTCTATCTAAAAATCAGTGGAAAATATTCTCAGGTGAGAATTAACAATAACAACAACAACCGCCCTCCCCTTAATATTATTTTAAAAAGTAAAAAAAAGGTCTGGATAGAGTATAGCGATCTGACAGCCAAAGGGACTCCTCCTCTGAAGGGTGACATTTTATTTTTTATTTATTTTTTTTAAATATGCTTTTTTATTGATTTTTTTTAGAGCCAGAGGAAGGGGGAGATAGAAACATCGATGTGAGAGAGAAACGTCAATCGACTGCCTCCTGCACACCCTCTACTGGGGGTCGAACCTGCAACCTGGGCACGTGCCCTGATGGGGAATCCAACCAGGACCTCTAAGTCTATGGGGCAATGCTTAATCCACTGAGCCACACTGACCAGGATGAAGGGTGTTAACAATGATTTTATAGTTTTAAAATAACGTGCTTTACAGTTTTGATTATTAATCTTTTTTTTTCCTAATCACACTGTGAGGGAGGTCAGTCTAAATTATAATGGTAATGTGGGCTATTTTCATTTCATAAATATTTATTGACTGCTTATAATGTGCAAGGTACCTTCTAGATCAGCACCATCCAATAGAAATATAGCATGAGCCACAAATGCAAGCCACACATGTAATTTAAAAATTCCAAGTAGCCACCAAAGAGAAGCAAAAAAAAAGGTGAAATTAATTTTAAAAATGTATTTTGTTTAACCCACTATATCCCAAATATTATTTCAATAAATAATATAAATTTATTTATGTGATACTTTACATTTGTTTTGGTACTGAGTCTTTGAAATGCAGTACGTATCTAACACATCTTGATTGGAAGTAGCCGCCAGTTCATTAGCCACATGTGGCTTGTGGCTTCCATACTGTGCAGTGCATTCTACATAGAGATTGTTTGGCCCTGGCTGGTTTGGCTCAGCAGTTCAAACGTTGGCCCACGGACCAAAGAGTTGAGGGTTTGATTCTGGTCAAGGGCACGTTCAGTCCCCAGCCCTGGTTGGGGTCATGCAGGAGGCAACCAATCGATATGTCTCCTATCGATGTTTCTCTTCTCTCTCTCCCTTCCTCCCTCCCACTCTATCTAAAGAAAAATAAATAAATAAATAAATATTGTCTGTCTGAGTATTGGGCAATTAACTATTATCTGGGCATAAATCACCTTCCCACCTAAGGTTAACTAATTCCTTCACATTATTACAATTGCAGTTCAAGTGCCCCAGAAGAGTTAATTCACTAGGTATTAAAAAGCACACAATAGGTGCTTACTACATGTTTATTACCTTTGAATTGAGCAGTTCTTGAGCACCTCAAAGTTACCTGATACATAAATTGAGGACCATTTCCTCTAAGATCCTGAATTTTTTTTCTCCTGTTGCTATTCAATTATTTTAGCAAATTTGGGCTCCGAGTTTGCCAGACTTTTCCTATTTCTGTGTCCAGTCAGCTACTGCAGCTTCCTACCTTTGTCCCTGACAGCAGCGGGACCTCAACCCAGGGTGATCAAGCCTTTCCAACCTGCCCGGTTGGTGTGGCTCAGTGGTTGAGCATCGACCCATGCACCAAGAGGTCGCCGGTTCGATTCCCAGTCAGGGCACATGCCCAGGTTGTGGGTCCAATTCCCAGTGGGGGGCATGCAGGAGGCGGCCAGTCAATGTTCTCTTTCATTGATGTTTCTATCTCTCTCTTCCTCTCTCTCTAAAATCAATAAAGAAAAAATGTTAAAAAACAAAACCAAAAAAAACGACTTTCCAACCCCCCAATGCTCCAATTTAGTAACAGACCTTTTCAAAGAAGTGAGCTAAGGGAACACTCACCACTCCAGGTCATGCACAGGCCTCCTGCCTTCCTTGCACTGGGGAAAGTTTCTCCAGGCCACGCACCTCTAACAACTGGAGGCTGCGGGGGCAGAAGTTGTGTGCGCATCTCTTACCCGGGACTGCTGGTGCTTCTGGTAGAACTCGGTCATGTTAAAATCATCCAGCTCGACCAGCAGGTCTTGCTTGCACATCTCACAGGTCTTCACAGCAACTAGATCCGCTCCTTAAATGAAAGAATTCTTGTTACATATGACCCTGGGTCTTTCTGTGTCGACGCTTTGGATCTTTGGAGTTGACATTTTGAGAGCCAACTTGTGTGTGTTATGAATCCGGAGTTTCAGTGACCTTCTTTTTATTTATTTTTTATTACTACTTTTTAAATCTTCACCTGAGGATATCTTTCTATTTATCTTCGGACAGAGTGAGAGGGAGTGAGAGGGAGGGAGAGAGAGAAACATCCATGTGAGAGGGACCCATTGACTGGTTGCCTCCCACACAACCCCAACCAGGGCCGGGGACAAACCACAACAGAAGTACGTGCTCTTGGTCGGACTCGAACTTGTAACTCATTGGTCCACGGGCCAACGCTCTACCATTGAGCCAAACCGGCTAGGGTGCAACCTTCTTTTTAAAGTCAGCCATCTTCCACCTGGCTGGTGAGGCTTGGTTGGGGCATCCTCCTGTATACTGGGAGGTGGCGGGTTCGATTCCCAGTCAGGGCACATACCCGTGTTGCAGGTTCAGTCCTGGTTGGGGTGTGTTTGGGAGGCCACCAATGGATGTTCCTCTCTCTCTCTTTCCCCTCTCCTTCCTTTCTTTCTCTGAAACCAATAATAACTAACTAACTAAATAAATGTCAGCCATCTACCGTAGAAAATGACCTTGAATCTGGGATTGGAAAATTTTCTTTTGTGATCATTTTAATTATTATGCAAACTTTGTATAAGTGAAAATCCCATGACTTTTAAATAATAGGTCTTGCTTTCAGTTTCAATATAAACATACTGGTTCATAAAATTGGATTTGCTACATGGAGGTTGAAAATCTATAACACAGGTGTTTGCAAAAAGAGTAAATATTGGGCCTATGTTTTTTTTTTATCCTCACCCGAGGACATTCTTCGATATTTTGTTGAGAGAGAGAAAGAGAAATATGGATGTGAAAGGGACACATCGAGTTGTTGCCACCTGCAGGACACAACCAGGGCTGGGGACAAACCGCAAGTGAGGTACATGCCCTTAGCGGGAACTGAACCCGGGTCTCTCTGGACCACAGGCCGACGCTCTAACCGCTGAGCAAAACTGGCCAGGCTGGGCCTATGTTTTTGCTGTGTGTGTGTGTGTGTGTGTGTGTGTGTGTGTGTTTCCTTGCAGACCTTACACAGGTCCAAGCAAATAAATCAGTAAGGACCAAGTGGATGGCAGAGCTATCCTCAATCTGTGGTTTAAAATCTGCCTTTACTCTGACACAGGTCACTTCCCACCTGCGGAAAGTGAGGGAGCCAGAGACCTGGGTGGGAACTGGCACAGCAATATCTGGGGCTAGCCTTTGAACCTGAGCTCAGTCACATTCGGGAAAAGGAACGTTAAAAGGCTTCCTTCAGCCCTGGCTGGTTTGGCTCAGCGGTTAGAGTGTCAGCCTGTGGTCCAGAAAGTCCCGGGTTCGGTTCCCGCTAAGGGCACAGACCTCGGTTGTGGTTTGTCCCTGGCCCTGGTTGGGTTGTGCAGGTGGCAGCCACTCGATGTGTTCCTTTCACGTCGATGTTTCTCTCTCTCTCTTCCTCCCACTCTATCTGAACAAAAAATGGAAAAATCTTTTCGGGTGAGGATTTAAAAAAAAAAAGGCTTCCTTCACTGCTGTTTTCTTTTTTCTTTTCTTTATTTATGTTTATTCTCACCCGAGGGAATTTTTGCATTTATCTTCAGATAGAGCAGGAGGGAAAAAGGGAGGAAGAGAGAGGGAGAAACATTGATGTGAGAGACACATCAACTGGTCACCACGCACACAACCTCAACCCACAGGGACAAACTGCAACCACAGTACGTGTTCTTTGTGGGATCCAAACCCGGATCTCTCCAACTGCTGAGCCAAACCTGCCAGGGCTCTTTAAAAAACAACACCAACAACAACAACAAATGCATTCTAGCCCTGGCCAGTTTGGGCTTTTTTTTTTAAAACATGCGTTCTAGATCAGTGACCCCCCCATGCAAAAGTGGAAGCTGTGACCTGGAGCTGTTCTGTCTAGGAGAACCTTCTGCCCTGTGTCTTCCCCCAGCACAGTTGCATTTTGACTAATGATGTGACAGCGTTTTTTTATGCATTAGAGAATAGAGGGTGAATTAGTTATCTGCACTGACTTGGTAAAGATAGGGTTTGCGCAGTTTTAGAGCCCTATTTTTTCCCCATGGGGGATATAGAGAAAAAGTAAATAATAGAGAATTTCAAAGCACCAAGATGAACAAGTAATCCCTTATCTGCATTTTGTTCATTCGATTATTTTTTTTTAAAGCATCAGTCTGTAATGCTGTAGGCTACTGAATGTCCCCGGTGTCTTCCAATCTAATCCTGCTCAACACACCCTACCTGTGTTGGCATTTGCAAGCATTTAGCAGGACTTTTATCATCTATTTCATGAGTGATTTTTTTCTGTGCTAGATGTTTAATTGGCCTAAATTTCTAGTAAGAGAAAACATTGCCTGGCAGAGTTATTTGCAGTCGAAATCCACTTGTTTCTTTGCTCTGTGACCGAGTCTACCTACTACGCGGAGATGCATTTAAGCAGTTTGGCCAGTGGTCCTAGATTGCGCATGCTCGCGCGGATGCATCCAGGGTGCAGGGGCCTCAGAGCAGAGACAAGTTCTTGCGATCACCCCACGTGTTCATTTCTCTGATTAAATGGTGTTCTGTTCTTATTAAGGGGGCACAGCCATACCCCACAGGGACAGGGTAAAGCTCCCAGATCTCCCAGGCTGCCTGTAAGGATGGCCCCCAAGGAGGGAAAAGTGGACGAGGAGAGAAATAGGATCTGGCTAGGGGGAAGAAAGTTTTGGAGAGGTGTATCTGAAAGACAGGGCAGCTACTTTCTCATTGAGTTGTTCTTTGCATTGGTCTCCTATATGTTTTTTGTTCAAGTGGCTCTCATTCCTAAAACCATGTGTTCAAGAAGTCTCCCATTCTCTGTCCAGAAAAGTACAGTTGGCCTACGGATGTGGTTGTATTTAGGTTAAAACCCCGCAGGGAGTTGGGGCTTCAGACCCAGTTACAAGATCTGTTAAAGACAGAGTTGACAAAACCAGCACATGGACATTGCTCTGTCTAATAAAGTTCTAGAAAATTTGATCAGGGTTCTTTTCCTACCCTGACTGCAAAAAGGTAGCTTTGCTCAGTTTCAGTGACACCCCTGTTCTCCCATACAAGGAAGCAGAACTGTTTCGGCCAGGTGTCTACAAGTTGGCATGGTGGCCGTGTGCTTGCTGAGGTTTCAACCATTGACCCATTTCTAGTTTCCTTTCTCCTAGAAGGCAATCTTAGCATCTCTGCTCTGGCCTCAAGCAGGGGCCAAGTTCAATAGAATATGGTCCAGGATTCTTCTCTCAGACTGGAAAAGAAACAAAATTCATTTCCCTCCCATGATTTAAAGACAGCATTTAGTCAGGGCCGTGAGCAGGCGTGCTGGCGTGGGGGCCACGGTTCCCCGGCACCTGCTCCGTGGCCGCGAGTGAGCTGTTGTCAAGGCTCTGAGTCCCACGCACGGTGCCTCCTGTTAATTCTAGGTCCTCGCATGTTCACCACTCGCTCTTCCTTCCCCACTTACCTGATGTTATTTTCACTTTCAGCCACTTTATCAGGCACTCTTGATGAACAAATTGCAGGCTTCCCACGCAGCCGCAAGGCTCCAGGAGGGGGTTGGTAGGGGAACCCCCGGCTATCTGACAGATGCGACACAAGTCTCCCTCCTCCTCGGAGTCCTCCTCCAGGAGACTAGAGGGAAAACAAGCCCTCGTGACCAAGAGTCCACACTTTTGCAGTTTTCACAAATACCAGTTCCCAGGGTGTGAACAGGGGAAGGGAGGAGGAGCAATACCCCACACCTGCCCAGAGGGCTCCTGGTCTCCCCCCACTGCTCCCTCCCATCCTACTGAAGAGTCTTCCAGGTCTGGTTATGATAATAGGTGCATGGACTCTTATATCAGGTACCTCTGCAGTAACTCACTCAGGGGAGCTGACCAGGAAAACAAGCATGCTACCATGAGTCTGGAGGTGTGCAAAAGGGTCGCTGAATAGAAAAGACTGGGAGCCTCTCTCCCTGCGGTGAGCACTGTGAGGAAGTTGACTGTGTGGTTGTTGGTGAGCGCATGGCATGGGATTTATGATCAGGGAGCCTGGGTTTGAGGGTGGCCTCTACAACTTGTAAGTTTGGTGACTTCTGACATATGACTTAAGCTGCCCAGGTCTCTGTTTCCTTGTTGGTAAAGCCAGGATGCTAATGGCTGTCTACTTCACGGGTCATGGGCAGACTGGATTCAAGGATGATGGTGAACCTGTTCTGCAAACTGAAAAGTTCATTCGGTGTCTGTCAAAATATTTGTATATAGAGACCACTCAATAGACGTTGGTTGGGATGAATGATGAACCAATAAACCTGGCCGTGAGCTCACCAATAACACGACACTTGCCAACAATTTATGCCAACATTCCATAATCTGATAGAGACGGAACTGAATGAAAATGTCAGCAAATATATCTGTGTCTAATGAATGGTGAATGAAGACTAGCTGGTTGATGTGCATGTAGGGAGGCCTTTGAGAAGCCTAAGACTATTTTATTATTGTTGTTCTTTAGAATTTTCTTGGGACTAGGGACTGTCTGGTCAAGGAAAGGAAACTACTAGAGACTAAAATCAAGGGGGAGGAAGAAATGGACACTGCTCTGGATGTAGAAGTGTGTGCCTAGTTTCTTAAGAGATCTTCCACCCCAAGAAAAGGAAGTTTAATGAAAAAGAAGAGAATTCTAGCCCTGGCCAGTTTGGCTCAGTGGTTAGAGTGTTGGTCCGCGGACCAAAGTCACTGGTTCGATTCTGGTCAAGGCACATACATTGGTTGCGGTTCAGTCCTTGGCCCTGGTTGGGGTCGGGCAGGGACCCCAATCAATGTGTCTCTCTCACATTGGTGTTTCTCTCTCTCTCTCTCTCTCCCCTTCCCATTCTGGCTGAAGATAAATAGAAAAAATCCTTGGGTGAGGGTTAAAAAAGAATAAAATAAAAATAAAAAAAGAACAGAATTAAAGTTTGCCATTATGGATGCAAAGAAAAGAAGAGATATATCATGTTTATCAAAGAAAGACACAGTATCTCCAAGATGTCACGTTTCCCTAGAATAATCTATGGATTCAGTGCAATTCCAGTAAAAACCCAGCAAGCTGATTCTTGAACATAGTCAAGGGCTTTTAAGGAGCAAAGTGGAAAGGGAGTCTTTGTACCATGTTATCAAAACTTATAAAGCTACATACATTAAGATGGTGTGGTATTGGATTAGAGAAAGACAAAAGAACCAATAGGACAGAGCAGAGAGCTCTGAAACAGAATTATCTATTTGTATGTATGCTACATGAGAGAGGTGGTTTGTAGGTTGTCAGGGAAAGATCCTCGGACAACTGGTATTCATAACATGTACCTCACCACATCTATCTATCTATCTATCTATCTATCTATCTATCTATCTATATTTAAATATGTTTTTATTGATCTTAGAGAAAAAGGAAGGGAGAGAGAGTACCCTCAACCTGAGCGTGTGCCCTACCTGGGAATTGAACCATTGACCTTTCGGTGCATGGGACACCACTCGACCAACTGAGCCACACCAGCCAGGGCTAACACCACATATCAGATGTCACCTTCACAGTTAAGTCCCAGATCCATTTCATGTTAAATCCTAAGTGTGCAACGTAAAACTGTAGAGATTTTATTTTATTTTATGTTTTTTATCCTCACCCGAGGACATTTTTCCATTTTTGGTTCAGATAGAGTGGGAGGGAGAGAGAGGAAGAGAGAGAGAGAGAGAAACATCGACGTGAAGGGACACATCTAGTGGCTGCCACCCTCACGACCAACCAGGGCCGGGGACAAACTGCAACCGAGGTACATGCCCTTAGCGGGAACTGAACCCGGGTCTCTCTGGACCTCAGGCCGACGCTCTAACCGCTGAGCCAAACCGGCCAGGGCTAAAACTGTAGAGATTTTAGAAGAAAATAGGAAGAAAAATGACCCCAGGTTTGGGAAGGATTTCTTAAGACAACAGGATACAAATCACAATCCAAAAAAAGATGAATACATTTCACTATGTTCAAATTAAGAATTTATTATCATTAAAAGGCATCAAGAAAGAGAAAAGACAAACTACAAATTGGGAAAAGATATTTCTAAGATGTAACTGCCAAAGGATTAGACTAGTAGCCTAATATAATAAAATAAAATAAAAATATTTTAAAAATGATTCTTATGGGCAAAGACATAAATGTGCATTTTATGGAAAAGGAAACACAAATGGTCATTGACATTCCAAAGAGCACATAATGCCTGACCTCACCAACAGTCATGACGATGTAAATTAAAGCTCAATATCATTTTACTCCCATCAGACTGGCAAAAATTTGAAAAGCCAATCAATACAAGTGCTGGCAGGACAGACAATAGTATACGTTACTGGTGAGACAATAAATTCACATTATTTAGTATGGTGAAAGGTGTGCTACCCACCAGCCCAGCAATTCCACTCCTAGATATAATAATATACCAGAGAACTCTCTTCATGTGCACCAGGAATGTTTATAAGAATGCTCACACAGAGCTGTTTGCAGAAAACAGCAAAGAACCCAAGTGTCCATCAATAGGAGAATGGCTGGATTGTGGTATTTTCATATAATTGAATACTTGTAGTGGCGAAAGTGAACAATTTAAAGCCAAAAATATCAAAAAGGATGCATCTCACTAATGATATAAGGGGAAAAAGCAAGTCACAGAAGAATAGATATTACATTTCACAGAAGGATAGATATTAAAAAATAGTGACATTTCTGTAGAATTAAAAAATATGTACAATATATTGTTTAAGAGTACATATATTCATATGGTAAAACCATGATGCAAAAAACTTTCAACAACAACAAAATAAGAAGCAAAGAATGATAAATGCAATGCATTTAAGGTTTCCTAGGGATGGAAGGGGGTAGGAGGGAGGGGCCGACGGAGGGAGGTGAGCTAGGGTGGGCGAGGGGCTCGCCAGCTCCAGCATGTTCTATTAGCTGGAAGGTGGACACAGGGATATCTGGATTTTGTTTTGTTTCTAATTCTCTAGAATATACATGTTATATACTTATTTGTATGTATTATAAAGTAACTAAACAAGGAAAAAAATTTAAAGAGCGTTAAGTGGCATTGAGTAATGGGCTTGAAATATTAAAATAAGACATATTATAAAATATGAACCAATGTTTACTCAAAATTGCATTTATATGCAAAGATAAGACTGGAAACAGTTTTAACAGTGCTTGTCTCTGGATTATAGAGTTACAGGTAATTTATCTTTTAAGTTTATATTTCTAGTATTTCCTAAATGAATATTTTTGAAATTAGAGAGGCATAAGATTTATTATATACAGAAAAAAGTGAGTGTCTGATAAAAAAAAAAAAGTACATAAATAATGGCTGTTTAATGCACTACCTTGCCTAGAAGTAGATGCGTTTTTAAAATAAATCACTTTTAGCCCAAAGGCATCATTTTGGGATGGTAGAAGTTCAGATTCCTGACATATGCATCTGAAGCTGTATTTTTGGGTAGGGGAGGATGGATGGGGTTGAGGCCTTTTGGCCCTTAACCATGGGTCAGTCTTCTAGTAGCTTGTTTAAGAAAAGAAAAGGTGCTACTACTAACTAGAAACGTGCTTTAGTTCTGCAGTTGGGTAAAGACATATAGGACTTGCATTCTATGTTCTATTTTTTCCCTCCTTTTTTGCATGTTTAAGTCATTGCCATGGAATTTTTCCACTTACAAATGAATATCAGTAGGATAATTAGTGGCTCAGATGAGCCACGTGTAGAGAGCTGGAATTCAAAGGATTGATTTCCAGATCTGTAAGCCAAGATCAGGGCATGGTAACACCTACCATAAATGAAATGGTAGAATCCTGACATGGTGCTTAATGATGGCTTTCAAAGTATGAAATTTGATAGTTGTGAAATATCCAATATCAACTCATAAGAAAGAAAAGATTTTTTTTAAAGTATATTTTTAAAAAGATCTATTTCTTTCTCACACATGAGAAAGAGCACCTAAGTGGAAGCAGTGGTTACCCCAGAGCAGCCCTTCAGAGAACTGAGGTAACTATGGTAACCAGGGGAAACCAGCCTTTTACTTTGGAAGATTCAAATTCTAGAACCGTTGGTTGGATTTGTGCAAAGTCCCATGAGGGAGAGCTGGTGAACTTCAAGTGCTGATGGCTCATTCTTTGGGGAGATAGCAACCTTTTCGTAAAAAATCTTGGATCCTAGTTGCCAGTGAGAAATGCTAGTTCTGTAGATAAGTCAGAAATCCTTATATCTAACAAACTTGCCTTTCTTAAAATTACGGTATTCAAGGGAAAAAACCACTTTGGGAACACTGAAGAAACTGGACCGGACAACCAAACTTTTCTTTATAGCTACATATATTTTAAGAGCAACAAATAGACAACTTTCTTGATTTAAGTAGTTATTAGAATGTTAATGAAGGGCCCAGCCAGTGTGGCTCAGTGATTGAGCGTCGACCAACCCATGCACCAAGAGGTCACCAGTTAGATTCCCAGCCAGGGCACATGCCCAGGTTGTGGACCAAATCCCTAGTGGGTGGGGGGGCATGCAGGAGGCGGCCAATTGATGTTCTCTTTCATCGATGTTTCTCTCTCTCTCCCCCTCTCCCTTCCTCTCTCTCTAAAATCAATAAAGAAAAAAAAATTTTAAATGTCAAGGGCGGGCCTATTTATTATTTAAAGTTCCCATGACCCTCTAATAAAAGCACTTTTATTTCAGCATTGGAAAAATGGAACAAAAATATGTGTATGTACATAAAATTATGAAAATTCCTCACCTTTCTTGCAATTTCTTGAGTTTCTCAGGGTCTGCCTTTGTTTTAGTGGCTACTGCTTCATCTGTGAAACCAGAGACTGCCATTCTTTCCCCATTGCCATTTTGACTTGGGAAATCAGACACTGCAAAGAAAGTAAAAGGTATGTTTTCTTGCAGGGACCCAGTCACATGCAAGTGGCCTTGTGAGTTCAATCTTGATGGAGAGGAGCTGGAAGACTCCACCAATGACAAGCTGCTTTGAGAATTTAGTAAGAGATCTTCTGGACACAATGGAGTCCCCTGAGATGGGCTTGTTAAAGGAATAGCTTCTGCTCCCCTGACATCAAATTCATGTGTGCTGTTTACTGGAAAGTAACTCTGGTTTTCTTCAGCACTGACGGGTGGATTCCTATTTCTAATTGGAGACAGTGGTCGATGAACATTAAACCTTGAGTTGCCCTCTGAGTCTGAACTGTGAATGAAAGTAGGTGTCATTGACAAGTCTACTGGAATGTCTTCTCTTGGGGCAGAATGGATGAATGGTCCAGGAGTGTTATTAGATGAATTCATTGGTGATCTTGACGCTGTTGGTCTATCTGAAATAAAGCAACCAAGAGAAGCACTAGAATTGTTGAAACAGGTTTGCCATTGTCTTTCGTAATCATGGGCACCGAGCCTCCCTTCCCTAGAAGTACAATCACTAAACACATTTTCAGCATGGAGATTATCTTCTAGATTAGGTTTGAATTTGGTGTCCTGTGAACAAAAGGTCTTTTTCTCATTTCCACCACCTCCGCTGTCATTCTCTTCAGCAGACCCGCCATCAGGCAGCCGAGGGTCTTGGAACAGCCTTTGCCCAACAGAAGGCTGCTCTGTCACTGGCTCCTTTGCTTTGCCTATTCTTAGTAAGCCATGGCTGGACTCACTCCTTCTTACAGAATTAGCCCTGCAATTTTCAGGATTTTCTTCAAAATTTTTATTTTTGGCCTGAGTGGCTGGTGTTCCAAGAAATTGACTTCTCTTATAAGGAGAACGGGGTGGGTGCATACCGACCAACAAGAGTTCTTCCTCCTTGTGGGTTTCCTCTTCAGTGTCCTCATCTCCTCCTCCATGGCTTAATGATAAAATAGAATAAAAATCTTCATCTCTGAACCTAAATGGCGACCTTCTTGACCCTCCCATGGTGGCGGTTAAGAGCGGCGGTCCCAAGGACTCGCTCCACACTTGAGAACAGTCTGTTCCTGGGAAGGACGGGGACAGGGCTGGATGCGGCTCACTGTGGGAAAGAGCACGAGGGTCTCCTTTTCTGGCTCTCTCGGGGGTAGTCTCAGTCACTGCCCCTGGCTGTGAGGATGGGGCTAGGTTTCTTCTCTCTCGAGTTGGCCTCTTCACCCTAGTGTCACTTGCCCACATGGGGCCTTCTCGTTGAACTGGATCTGCATTGAGAAAAGACAAACTGATCATTCTAGTACAGGTGCTCATGGATGAAAGACCTCTAACCCCACAGGTGAGAGACCCTTACGGCAATAAACAAGCCTTCGATGAGAAGACACGTGGGGTCACACTGTGCGGCTTTTGATTTCTCCTTTGTACATTTTGGAGCTCAGGCTGGTTGTGGGAAACAGGCTGACTCAGAGGGTACAGGTCCTTTCTGCAGAAGCTTTGGGCAGACTGTCCAGCCCCAGGTCAGTCAGGGCTGGTAAATCTCTCAAATGGTGGTTTTATTTTATTTTATTTTTTATCCTCATCTGAGGACATTTTTCCATTTTTTGTTCAGGTAGAGTGGGAGGGAGAGAGAGAGAGAGAGAGAGAGAGAGAGAGAGAGAGAGAGAAATATCGACGTGAAAGGGACACATCGAATGACTGCCACCCACAGGACCAACCAGGGCCGGGGACAAACTGCAACCGAGGTACGTGCCCTTCGCGGGAACAGAACCTGGGTTTCTCTGGACTGCAGGCCGATGCTCTAACTGCTGAGCCAAACCGGCCAGGGCTCAAATGGTGGTTTTTAATTCCAGTATTTGTTGGAAAGGAAAACCAGAACTCCAGGAATGACTTCTACAAAAACCACCAGGGCTTTGTCATCTGAATTCACCCAGCATATATTTATGACACTACTGCTTCATTCACAGCTTTGCAAAATCTTAAGAAAAGTATAGTCTGGCCCTGGCCAGTGTAGCTTAGTTGGTTGAGCCTCGTCCCATGTACCAAGAGGTTGCTGGTTTGATTCCCAGTCAGGGCACGTGCCTAGGTTGTGAGCTTGATCCCTAGTGGAGAGTGTGTGTGTGTATGTGCAGGAGGCAGCCGATCGATGGGTCCCTCTCATTGATGTTTCTTGCTCTCTCTCCCTCTCCCTTCCTCTTTCTCTCTCTCTAAAATTAATAAAAACATATTTTAAAAAAAGAACAGTCTGCCTCGGCAGATTGGGAGGAAGGCTCTAGAAGCTGGTGCCCAATAAAACAGATGATCTGTGATTATACTACTTAGTGCAAGTAAAAATCATAACGCTCTCATGAAATTGTTACCTCTTTGTCACTAGCCCCTAGTCAATTTGTAACCTCTGGCTAGTAGAATACAATTTCTCTCCCCTGTTCCCCAAATCTAAAGTATGAGGAGATGCAGAGAGAGGAGGCAGGTTAAGAGCCCATGTGGGTGAGAGTTTCTGTTGGTAAAATCATTTGGTTAAAACTTGCCTTATAAGAATAATGACTAAGCCTACTTATTGAGGGTTTATACTGACCAGATCAGGAACCACGCTGTGTTACATGCACATGTTTAGGCTCTCAAGCCTGTGAAACAGGTACTGCAATCACACCGCGTTATGACTGAGGGCACCGAGGCTTAGGGAGGTCACATAACTTGCCAAAGATCATATTTTTAGTAAGTGATGGGGTGAACATTTGAACTCAAGCCTGCCTGCTACACGGTTTGTGTTCTTAAGATACACGGTTTGCGTTATGCTTAAGAAACTGGCAGGACTTCCAATTTCCTTGTGAAAATGAGCACCCATGTAATTCCTTGTTGTCTGTGTGTGTTGTCGAGGGTTCTTTTTTTTTTTTTTTTTTTTTACCATCTTGACATGCACAGGACACTGAAAGTACTTCGCTGATCCCACTTACCTTTGTTCCCGCCTGACTGTGGCCTTCCCCCAGCTCCCTGGCTGCTAGCCTGCAGGGTCTGATGAGGCCCTGCCGTCCTTATCCTTCTGTTTCTAAAGTGGTTCACGGCTCACCGTGTAGCGTGAGCAGGACTCCACAGGTTCAGGAAGGCCTGTGTGATAAAAGCTCAGGCAGGTGAAATGCAAATCCTCTGAGCATGCCTGGCTCAGCCAAGGGCAAGTCAATACTGACTCACTTTAATTGAGGCCTCCCAGGGGAGCACCAGCTCCGTCTCTAACGTCCTAATGTTCTGTAAGCCTCTTTCATTGTGAGCGGCAGGGGACACTCAGCAGCGCAGTGCGAATCTTTACTCATCGGCTCTTCTGGAAATCATTTACGCTCTCCTACCAGGCCCCTCCTGGGTTTTAGAAACCCCAGTAATAGACGTATCAGCAATGCCAGGATGCCCTGAGCATCTGGCTGTGTGTGTATAGGCGGGCAGCTGGTGTGCCCACCCAGACTGGGCTGAGTGCAGGAACTGGAATCTTCTGGTCGCTCCCTGAACCTGCTGGATGACTGGAGCTGCCCCCTCTGCCTGGAGCCGATTTAGTTCAGGCTTTGGGAGACACGTAACGGGCAAAAGAATCAGCTAGGGCAGCTTCTGCAAAACTGCAACCGGAAACTCAACGGGAACCATAAGCTTATTTCACGGAAGCCACCAAGCTGTCACCTGGTGAACTGGCCTCTGGGGCAGGAGGAGTCACAAGCTAAGTGCTGCACTGCGGCTCCTGTGGATATGGAACACCCCAGGAATGCATCTCCACCCTTCCTCATCACCACAACTGCCTTCCCCTTTAAAAATTCCATCAGTGCTCCCTGGAGTGTGTGTGTTTTCCCTAAAGGTGGCAGACTGTGCCATTCTATATTTATGCTATTTTAACCCTATTTCTTGTGTCTATCAAATAGGAGCAGACTTCATAGCTCAAGGCCGGGGAATGAACACCCGGTTTGGTATGCCAGGGATGTGCTATTCATAGAGCAGCCCTGCAGATGCCGGCGGCCTCTCTGAGGCCCTGCATGGGCTCCAGCTGTAAGTGGAGCGCCGGCCATTCCCAGAAGTTCAAGTAGGTGCAACTGAACCTTCTAGGTGCAACCAGAGGAAACTAGGAAGAGCATCCGTCTGCCCTAAGCCTGTGTCTTTGGTTTAGACTTCTTCATGTGCTTGGCCAATAGTTTCCTGCATTCTGATGGCCATATAATCTTAATTGCTTCCCTCTGGTTATAAAAGTAGTTGATATGGTAGAAATTTGGGACATACAGAAGAGGAAGAAGGAGAAATAAAAACCACCCCAAACCCCAAACTCAGATGGCACTGCTCTGGAGCTCAGGGGTGGATTGCAAACTCAAGATCCCTGGGCTGTTTTCATCTTGCAGTTGTGCTTTGGCTCAGCATCTGAACACCAAGGTAACCAACACCTTTAGGTGGAGCGGGTATGTGCTGCTTGACCCCAGGCCCCTTGCAAAGTGTTTCTCCTGCCATACCCACCTGTTCCCTGGAGGCATTTGGGGCTCTCTTATCTAGAAATATCATTTTAAAAACCAAAATTGGGATATTTGGGTATATATAACTTTATGTCCTGCTTTTTTTCCTTAAAACTTTTAATGTAAGCATTGTCTTCTGCCACTATTAAGAACATGATATTAATACGGTGTAAGGGTGCTTTACATAAATGTATTATAATTTGTTTGACTCTTCTTCTATCATTGGGTATACAGATTGTTTTGAGGGTTTTGCTACCACAACTTACACTGTGATGAGTGTTCTTGTTCATACATCCGTGACTACCTGTCTTATTTTCTTAGAATAGATTCATAGGAAGTGGAATTGCAAGGTCAAAAGGTAAAAACTTTGTAAAGAATTTTGACACATGTTGCCAAATTCCAGTTTGTACCAAGTCACCCTACAGGTAGGCTATGAAAACATCTCTCACAGCTGTGTTACAGGATTGTCACAGCATCTGAGACACAGCGCCCGGAAATGTTAGTTGTTAGTCTCACTACCAATGTTGAGTATTATTTTTAAAACCTTAGCCAATTTGGTTGGCCATATTTTTCTCATGTGAATTTACATTTATTACTTAGTGAGGTTGAACTTTTCCCCCCAAATGTTTATTAGCTACCTATTTCTTCTGTGAAATTGTCTGCTTGCCTCTTCCCCAATTTTCTATTAGGTATTCATATTCTTGTGCTTTTTGTTGATTTGTAAGAGCTTTCTATATATCACCTCTTTGTCACATTAGCTTCAGAGCTCTGATACAATTCAAACATCTGGCTCCTGCCCAGCTGGTGTGGCTCAGTGGTTGAGCATCAGCCCATGCACCAAGAGGTCGCAGGTTCGATTCCCGGTCAGGGCACATGCCCAGGTTGTGGGCCAGATCCCCAGTGGGGGGCATGCAGGAGGCAGCCAGTCGATGTTCTCGCTCATCGATGTTTCCATCTCTCTCTCCCTCTCCCTTCTTTTCTCTCTAAAAATCAATAAAGAAAAAAGAAAAGAAACATCTGGCTCCTATTCCAACGTATGCAGATTACTTTAGAATGTGAGAAAAAGAACGAAAGAGATTAGTGAGGAAATAATTGGGGGAAGATAAGGAGCCCTGGTTATAACAGAAAATTGGGACAAATTCTCAATGAATTTCTCAGGATAATGGAAGGTGTCTTCTGGGTGCAAGTGGAGGATTGTATGAGCCTCATGGGTCCAGGAACGTTTCACGCATGGGGAGCCTCACTTTTTAAATAATATTCGAGAGTTCATTGAGGGCCACTGGGGAGGTGGCAGGGAGAAACTAACAATAGTTCATTGCTCGCTATAGTTGTGTGCTGGTCAGTATGAGATTTCCTTTAGTTATTACAGCAATGCAAAATGGCTATTTGACCACCCAAGGCTCCACCTCTAGGAGGAAGAAGTGCTAGAATGAGGAGTAAGGCCCTGGCCAGTTTCTCAGTGGTTAGAGCATCAGCCCATGGACCGAAAGGTCTTAAGTTTGATTTCCGGTCAAGGATATGTACCTGGGTTGCAGGTTCCATCCCTGGCCCTGGCCAGGGTCTTGCAGGAAGCAACCAATTGATGTCTCTCTCCCACGTTGATGTTTCTCTCTCTCTCCCTCTCTTCTACTCTATCTAAAAATCAATGAAAAATATCCTTGGATGGGAATTAACAACAACAACAAAAAGAAGTGAGGTCTACCTGTCCCAACAGGAGGTGTTAGATCACTGGGTCCTGTGGGTGTCTAGTTACTCCAGGTTCACATCTGCTCTAATTGCACCTAATTCCAAGTGCTCCAAGTACGATCACATTCTATATTCATGCGTCCACCACAGTATGTGTCGTATTTTAAAATAAAGGCTACTGTGTCAGTGGGTGGCAAGGAGGTGTGATACTCAGTGGTTTCCCCAAGGGGAAGGACCTGTCCATGGCAAGGCTGGCTGTCACATGTGGCTTTCCTTGAGTGCCATGGGGGCTCCTCAGGCCCTGTCCTTCTGCCACCACAGGAGAGGGCAGCACGGTTAGCAGAGCATCAGGGCTTGGGCCTTAGGAGGAATGCTTAGCACTGGAAGAGATGGTGTCTACCAAACCAGCATTTTGAAATAAAGCATATATTCATTTTGATGTTATTTCTTACACATTAAGATCGTGACACCTTGGCTCAGAGGAGAAAAGATTTCTGTGGGAAGTGAGCAGTCTGCCACCCACAGACACTCCTGGGAGGTGGGTAGGAACTGTGGCCAAGTGAGACATTCCTCTACCCCCCACCTCTACCCTGAACCCAACACTCAACACCCAAATGCCTTCTCTGGAAGCCTAACGTGGGCACCCACTCAAAACCATGCACAGTCATGCTTATGGAGTAATGACAGAGAAAAATAAAAACACGCCCCCTCCTTCGTCTTGCCTTTCCCCACCAATCTCCCTTGGAGAAGGAGACTAGAGCCAATGGTTTGCTTTTAAAACCTTGAAAGTGTTTCACTGTAAGGTATACGCTCCTTCACGCAAAAGCACGGTGTCTAAAACCCCTATAGAATTCATCAGGCAACAGCACAAGTCTCTTCTCTCTGAGGACCCAGACGCACAAGCTGCGGTTCCTTACCTGCTCCCCAGAGGGCCGGCGCCTTGGCTGGCGGCCGTGGCTTCTGTCTGCTTCGGTCCCCAGCCGCTCTTGGGTTCTGCATCTCTGGGCTGACCGTCAATCTCCCCAGGTTTGGCCTCCTTTTCCGTGATAAAATCTGTGGTGGCTGGGCTGCTGAAAGGTGCAAATGAATTTTCAATAATGAATTTTTTACAGGAAAACATGTTCCGTCTAAAGAAGGCTCATTGTGCTGGCAATGGGGAAGGCGGTTAAGAGAATGGAGCCAGGAGATCAATGAAGAGTTGGATCTGGAGCCTGGTTTCATGCCCTTATAGCCACGTGGGCTTGGGCAGATCACTTCGCTTCTCAAAACCTCAGTTTCCCCACCTGTTCCATGGAAATAATAATACCTACTTCACAAGACCGTTAGCGCCATGAATGAGTATCGTGGCACCTGCAATGTCTTTTCAAAGCTAAGAACTTTCTAGCTTCCCATTCATTGATGTTGGGTTGGGCCTGTTGGTAATACTGTCAAGAGCCTTCCATAGTGGGGACACACAAAGGCCCTGTCCTCCTTCCATGCCATCCAAGTTTAAATCACAGCCTGTTTTGTGCCTGCATGTCCATGTCCTCGGGTTATTCTTGGCAGCGTACATGGCCTTCCAGAAGGGTCCTGAGCATCTGGGGACCATACACCTTTTTTCTTGCTTTTGTGCTCACCACCCCTGCGCTGAGACAATACACTCACAGGAAGACAGTAGCTAACATGGATTGAGTGCCCAATGAATATACATTTTTAAATTTACATTTTGAATTAGGTTGCTGATTGGTGTGAATAACTTCACATTCCTCCTTCACAGGTACTCAGGTCGGTGCGTGTGAGTTTGGGAAAGAGTTTCAGTATTTTCCACGCATCTCTTCTTGAGTTCACAAGGAGTTAACATTGTGAGTAGCTGGACTAAATCCTTCCAAGAGAATTTTCCTGGCTCATCCCCTTTTGGACAGTTCCGAAATTTCACAAATAGCTGTAGCCAGTAGGCAACAGGGGTACAGCTGGGAAGGGTCCGAGTGCGCGCGCGAGAGCAGCTTTTCCTGGCGTGTGAAGACAACTGGATTTATGTTCCGGACTGTAGCTGTGGTTGCGTGAATGCTTTTCATCCAGATTGAGGGAAGGAATGAAGTTCTCCTTGGCAGCCCATGAAGCCGAGTTTCATACAATGGTTAGATTCACCTACTTTCCCTGACAGGCCCCAGGAGGGGAAGGCACTGGGTTCTGTGCCCCAAGACAGAGAGAATCACATTCCACAGGGAACTTACTGGGAGAGGGAAGCTGCTGGTGATGTAGGTTCTAGCTGAGGGCAAGTTGGTGGAGCTCAGAGAGAGTGTGGGCATGACTAGAAAGGAAAGAATTCTCCAGAAAGTGAGAATATATTCTTTGGAGGGTGGAGGTGGTGATATGACACAATTTCATTGACCAAGAGGAGCGAGGAGGGCAACAGAGGAGGATGGGGGAGGCGCTTTCTCAGCACCAAGAGTTGCTTTCCTCCAATCCAGAGGCTTGTCCTGGAGGGCTCATCCCTCCCTAGCTCTCAGAGGTCACAACTGCCTCCTACCTCTCACCTGATTGACAGGGTTCGGGGATTTTTATCAGCAGGATTCTCATTACTGAGGAAGAAACAGAGGGAGGAACAGGGAAGGGGCAGGCTTGGGGCTCAGGACAGGTCCATTGTGCATTTGGGACCCAGACCAAAGGTCCTGGTCACAAGCATTTTACTTTGATTTCTAGCAGGAAGCCCACCAGACTATTCAAATTTCCTTCTCAGCCCAGGCAGCAGAACATCACAACGCCCACAGCTCCCCATGCCCTTACCCCATCCACATCCCCTCACACCCTCATGAGAGGGATCCTCACTCCCAGAGGGCCTGCCAGCCACTAGGTCAAGGTTTGTTTCCAATTTTACCTCCACCACGTCTGCTTGGAGTCTGCTATGGAGAGAACTTACAGGGTTCTATGGCCTTTAGCATTTAAGTATTCTAAAATTGCCTAATGTGTGTGACTGCAAGGTCCTTACAGATGAAGCCCCCGTCTTTAGCCAGCCTATGTGTCGCCCCCAACTCCCCTGGAGGACAAATAAATCTCGCCTGGTATGATTTGCAGGGCTGGAGAAGTTGCATTCAGCTGCAACTATGGGGATTTCCAAAAGTAGAACAATGTTTTTCTTGTACAAAACACCCAAGGTGGCTTAAGGTAATAGGTTATTTTGTTTCCTTATTAAAAAAAGTGCTTTCTTCAAAGCATCAGTACTGTTAAACGATTTCCATGAACATGTCTCTTCTCATCAAGTTTTCAGCAAACTAAAGTAATAAAGCTGAACGACTAGAGACTGTTTTACCAGGCCTGGCAGTGAAGAAATCACCTCTGGTAGTTCAGGCAGGATCCTCTGACCTTTGGCAGTTTGAACCTCAGTATCTGAAATGGTAAAATGGAAGTATTCCTATCTTGTTGAATCAGTGTCAAGTTTAGCAATAATGTATGTAAATGGTCTAACTCAGTTTCTGGTGCATCTTAACTGCTAAAAATGGTAGCTGCTGCTTCTACCATAAATAGTGATAATAATTGGAAATCTCTCACTCCCGTGAGAGAACTGAATTGGACTAGAAACTTATTGTCATGCAGGCCCCATAGGCTGAGAATAACTTATGCAGTAACCTTCATTCCTGACTCTCCTCAATCCTTTCACAAAATCCAAAAGGCAAACAGCAACTCTCTTTTTATTATAATTTGTTTGACAAATACCTCTGTGTCTTTGCGATGAGATAATTTGAGGGTTCACGAAGATGAGTAAGACATTTTGGTCATGACCTTAAAGATTATAATCTAAATTTGGCTGCACCACTGACTTCCTCCCTGTGGAACTGTTTCAGTTCTATGGAAAGCAAACTCTTGTGCACTCTCCCTTCTCCATCTGCAATTGCGGTAATAAATGAGGTGACCTAGATTGCATAGTTTATATGTACCTGGGCTCCAATTCCTAATGACCCCACCCACTCCCCAAAGGGAACCAAACATCACACCTTTGGGGCCTTTCTAGGGATGTTGCTCACCATGGCATGGTACATATATTTATCTAAGGAAGACCAGGTAACATTTACACTGGAAGATGAAATATAGCTCCCTCTTTAGGTAGTGGGACAGGCCCTTTGGCTTATAGAGAAAGGAGGGGATCGTGTTCAGGAGTTTCTTCACCAGGCAATGCGACATCCTGAAGTTTCTCAGTGAGCTTGGGGGGACCGCGGTTCGTTTCCGACAATGTGAAACCCGTACTGTGTGTTAGGATCTGAGCAAGATGACACCTCCAGTAGCAAAGAAACCCAACAGCCCTTGAGATAACATGTATCTTGCCTCAGTTCTGTTGACAATGTAATTGTTGACTGAACAGTTCTAATTTGACCAGGGAAGGAAATAAAGGTAGAAATCTCATATTTATACAACCCAACAATGGGGAACCAGACCCATTGCACCTAAAAACTGTCCAGTGCCTCATACCACTTGCCATAATACAGTTCTTGAAAGACAAAGTTGAGAAGAACGAGAAAGGAAAAAACCCAGGTACTGAACCTTTACCCCTCCCCTTCTCTACCTTGACTCCAATGCCCGGTGCAAAATCCTGTCTAAGAGATGCCTTTCTTTTTAACCTCACCTTAAGACATTTTTGCATTTATCTTCAGATAGAGTAGGAGGGGAGAGGGAGGAAGAGAGAGAGAGAAACATCGAGAGAAACACATTGACTAGTTGCCACCCACACACGAACCCAAACTGCAACTGAGGTATGTGCCCTTAGTGGGAACTGAACCTGGGACTCTCTGGTCCACAGCATGACGCTCATAACTGCTGAGCCCAACCGGCCATGGCTCAGAAATACCTTTTTAGACAATGTTATTGCTCCTCCGGATGGCGGGAAGAATTGCAGTTTAATTACCAGCGCGGGCTTCCTCGGGCAATGACAGCTTTCTGTGCGGTCACAAATCACAGGCCCGTCCGTGCGCCGTTGGGCGGCTGGAGGTGTGTCGTCTCACTGACCCACCGGGATCGTCATTAAAGCTTAATTATGTGCCATAAATATGTTTTATTCTGGAACCCAGGAGGTAGGATTCCTGATTTGGGGAAATGCAGTGCCTAATAAGCAAGCAGAAGAGGGAACGTAAACAGCGACTGAGCCCTTTCATTTGTGCCTCCACAGCGTGGTTCGTGGTTCGAGGTTTGTGGTTCGAGGTTCGTGGTTCGAGCGGGTTCTCAGTTCAGCCTGTTTTCCGAAGGCCCTGCCCCGCCCCTCCAGGCCCGCCGCTCACCTGCGCACCGCCCGGGCTGGCCGGACGCAGCCTGTCCGCCCCCCACTGCCAGGCACGGGGTGAAGAAATCAGGGGAGTCTCAGAGGTGACGGGTTTTATTGGCCGCTCGCTCGCTCTCGGAGCTACAGGAGGGCTGGTGCAGTGGCAGCCGCCGTGGTCTTCCTGCTCCTGCCGGTGGTTCGCCGCCTTGCCCTCGGCCCTCTCGTCCACCTGCCTTCGGAGGCCCCACCCGTCCCCGACCCCACCGTGCTGTGTGCCTTGCCCAGGCCACTTACCACAGGAGGTAAATTTTACTGGGCCTTCTGGGGCCCGGCAGGCACAGCACAGGGGTCTCCGCTGGGGTGGGGCTGGAGACGGGGAAATAGCACAGGGCTGCCCGAGACTCGGGCACCGGCGTGGGGCTCAGGCTGGGGCTCGGGCTCGGGGAGGGGCTCACGAAGTAGGGAAAGGAGACTGGAGGGAGGCAGAGGGAGGAGTCCTGGGCCACCGGGGCGGCAGGTGGCACTAGTGGCAGGACGAGGCAGCAGTAACTGGTATTGGGCTGCGGGACAGGGGAGAAAGCAAAGACGGAGCAGTAAGGGGAATATTCAACACAGAACAGGGAGTGCTCGCTGCTGTCACCTGCACAAAAGAAAAAGAGCAGTCAGGAAGCAGCACTCACAGTGGGAATGGACATAAAAAAAAATCTGTGAATGAATCAAAACTCAAAAATTGTTCTGCAGGGGTGGACTCTCCAGGTGTCATGGGGCAGGAGGCACCCAGCTGGGGCCTCAAGGTCACTGAAGAGTTAACCAGGGGAATGTCATCAACCATCACGCCCTTTT